GTAGATACTGGTAATAAGAAATCGTTGTCAGAAATGAAGTCACATAAAATGTCAACCGTCTGTAAAAGAGGTACATTTGTAAATAAAGATTCGACATCTAGGGAGAACATGGTTTTGTCTTTTATATTAACGTTATCAAGACAATCAATTAACTCAAAAGTGTCTTTCAAAGAGAACTTACAGAAACTTCTTCTAACAGGCTCTAGTATTTCCACTAGCCACTGTGCAAGTTTGTGGGTTGAAGATCTGCAAATTGACATTATGGGACGTAGAGGAAGAACTGACTTTACGTTTGTATTAAAAATCCGAATTTTGTTGGTGATGCTGAGTGACGAAGATTTCCAGATTGATTTCAGGCTGATGAATGTGTTTCTCGCCTTCCCGATTCTCGCTCGATTTGACATCCTCGTCCGTTCCTCCTGTAGTTGAGACAATGCTCCCTAGATAAGTAACTGAATGAAGTAACCTCTTTCAAATCCCTCCCGTTGATGGTGATCGACGTTGGATGTTGTTGCTGTTGTTGGTTGGTTATTTTCATAACTTCCGTCTTGTCTATGTTTACCTGGAGTCCCATCTTCGCTGCCTGCTTCCTCGACCAGTTTATCGGTTTTCGCTTGTAAGTCTTCGATTGTGTGTGACATCAAACATAAGTCATCCGCGAAATCCAGGTCTTCTAGGTCCTTCACGTCGGTCCAGGATATTCCTGTCTTCTCGTTTCCCACTCACTGTCTGACGCATAATCCAGTCCACCACAATTAGGAATATCATTTATTGGTGATAATAAGCACCCTTGTCTGACTCCTGTGTTTACTCCAAACGCCTTACTGAGTTTTCCGTTGTGGATCATTTGACATGTGCCGTTGTCGTATAGCTGTTGAATAAGGTTGATGAATATTTGGGGTACGCCATAGTACTCGAGTAATTTCCAAATTACTTCATGGTCAACGCTTTCGAAGGCCTTCTCAAAGTCTATAAAGTTGAGGTAGAGGTTTGATCGCCATTCCATGCGTTGTTCTGTGATGATGATACGTAGAGTTGCGATTTGGTCAGTACATGATTTGCCTTTCCTGAATGTTGCATTTTTATCAGTGTGTAAAATTATAAAAGTAGTGTGTGTTTACATGGTGAACTTTGCTTATCATATTTGTGTTGATTTTGCCACTTCATGGATGAGGGAGGCGTTGTAACCAGGTCAGATTCTTTTTTAGTCCATCATTCCTATTCAGGCAATTTGGATTCCATTTGATACGAAGTACTGGCCCCTGATATTAGACGTTCTTTGTGATTTCTGAAGATTTTCTGGATTATTTCAATATTGTCGAATTCAATTTTGTGACCTGATTCTATGGCTGATGATTTTTCAAGTTTTTCTAGTTCAACTGGATTTCTCGGTAGTCAAAGAGCTGATCTACGGTGTTCATTTCTTCTGATTTTGGTTTCTCGAGATGTTTGTCCGATGCAGTTCGCATCACATTCCAAGCATTCTATTTTATAGACACAATTAGATAGAGAATCTTTTGGGATTTGGTCTTTTATATGGACAAGGTTGCTTTGAAGTGTGTCTGATGTTTTGAAGAAGACTCTAATGTCGAGCTGATTGAGCACTCTTCTGATATCGTCTAATGTCTCTGCTCTATATGGAATGATGACTGTTAATGTCCATGTTTTCGGAACGCATTTTCGGCCATACTTAATGTCTGTGTTGATTTTGTTGATGAAGTTCCTTGGGTAGTTGTTTTGCTTGAGAGTTTCCGTAATGTTTGATATTTCATCTTCCTTTTCTTGCTCATCCGTTTTCAGAGAGTGTGCTCGTCTAAGGAGACTTAAAAAAACTGAAATCTTTGCGCTGATAGGGTGTGATGATTTGAAGTCTAAATATCTACTGGAGTGGGTTTTCTTCCTGAATATGGATATACTAAAATGTCCGTTTTCCTTTCTCCACAAAATTCATTCCTGGAGAAAATAAACTGTGTATCTCCCAAAATCCAGTTCACTTCGGAAGCATAATCAGACATCGGTGAACTTCCATTTCTAGACAGCCTGGTTCTACGCGAGTTGTGGTCAGCACTACGTGCAATGTCAACCAACGGTCTCCTCAGTATGCATTCGATCAATTTCCATTTGATTTTCAATATAGAGCCTGGGAAGGTAGATGTTGGTTAGAATCTGCAATATCCTGTCGAGAATGTTTTTCATAACCAGCAGTACAATCTTTCGACTCATATAAAAGAACTGACTACTGAAAATCCGGACTTTGGTTATTTTACCGAGTGGAGATTTCCAAACCGATTTCAAAATGGTGAGAGTCTTCTTTACCTTTCATATACAAGTTATAACACCTTAATTCCTGCCGACTCCATGTAGTTGAAATGACACCTCCAAGATAAGTAATGGTTATTGGTGCTTGTTTTTGGTTGGTTGATTACCGCATCACCCCCGTATTCTCTATGTCCACTTGAAGTCATATCTTTGCATCCTGCCTTTCTGTCAGTTCGTCGGTTTTCGCCTGTAAGTCTTCAAGTCTATATGACATTAAACATAGGTCGATCCCGTAATCCACAACTTCTAAAGCCTTCATATTGGTCCAGAGTATTCACCTGTTGTCGCTCCCCACTCATTGTTTCCCACATCATTCAGTCTACCACAATTGAAAATGTGATCGGTGATAGTAGGTTGATAACCTTGTCTTACTCCTGTCTTCACTACTTCAAAGGCTTCTTATCTGAGTTATTCGTTGTGGATCACCTGATATTTGATATTGTCACATAGGTGTGTTGAATGAGGCTGGTAACATAACATAACAATTTCGCTTTTATTCCAAAAACAGTACTTGTGGTACAGTGTGGAATTTTCAGCACATATCTACAATATTGCATCTAATTTCATCGTACATTAAAAAGGAGTATTATAAAAGAAACACAACAAAAAAAACCATAAAAAAGAAACAGAAATAACAAAGAAAAACAAAAGAAAAGAAAAAATGCAAATAAAAAAATACCAAATAGAAAGGAAGATAAACACTAATAATGAAAAAATATTTCAGTACTGGGTAGTGGAAGCTATGATATGTTTATGCGTGGTGAACAGTGACAGCTATAATCATACAAGAAATTATGACATGTTCTTAAGAATGTTAATAGCTAAGATGATCAGTTAATTTGATTGAACAACACTGAACAATCATAAGATAAACATTTCAGGTTGTGTTTTTTTTTATTGTCAACCCTTATGCAGTGTTAGTCATGGTAGTGTGAGGAATCATGCATAATACAAAATTTTTTAAGATGGTGATAGTGGCGTTCACAAACAAGATTGCCAGTTAAATAGTGCCGAACAAAGAACAACCACAAAACTAATATTACATGATGGTTAATGACAGAACAATTTTTTAATAATCATAGTGATGATATAGTCGGACCCAGTAAATATACAAAAGAAGGAATAGAGTAAAAGTGCAAAAAAAGTAAGCCAACGATAGTTAATTTTAAGCTGCTAAGTATGTTTAAGAAGGTTGTTCACTATAGAGCACAAATAAGAGAGTATAAGGGGGAAATAACAAGGGCCAAAATTATGTTATTAACAACAAAGCAAGTCATAGGTTTCACGCTTAACATTGTCTCTGTCACTTAGAACACGGGCTGGCCAAATATGGTATCGTTGACTTCCTATAGTTGGTTGTACGAGCATATATTACTTGGTACTGATTTCTGGTTCTACCTGATGAGATGCAAGGAGAGAGTTGGGAATAGAGGGGGTGTTGGGGTCAGAGAGTATGGTTTTAGACCATTTCTCGCATGTATTCAGATGCTTATCCATTAATGTTGTGACGAGCTGACTGAGTTTTACACCGCTAGTCCTACTAACTACCTTCAACATCCTTCTCAAGATTTGAAGCATTGCATCGCATAGTGTTGAAGCAGTTTTCAAATTACTCTGTGGTCAACACTGTTCAAGGTCTTTTCAAAATCGCCGAAATCAAAGTAGAGGTTTGAACGTCACTCCATGCTTTACATGATAATAATGCATAGAGTTGCTATTTGTTCTGCAGATGATTTGCTTTTGTGAATCCTGACTGTTTTTTTTTTGTAGAGAGAAGTTCTGCATCTTGGTTTATTTCCTCCAGAATGACACGATTCAATGTTTTACTTGGCTTGGACAAGAGCTTGTCTCGGCACTGGTTATAGAAGAGGCCTAAGTTAGCTTTCTTCCGTAGTTTGACAATGTATCCCTCTTTTCTCAATCAGTAGGTACTTCTCCTTCCTTCTAAATTCTTGCAAGAACTCTCCATCAAAATACAGATTCACTCTGTTGCTCTATCTTGTATTTTGTCTCTAGTGTATCCTTGATTCCAAGAGAAATCTAAACTCTTTGCCGTCCTTTGTAATTAGTCTATAAATAGTTACTGTTTTAACATTGAATAATTCATCTACTTACATCATTCTCGAAATTACGCTGCGCATAGTTTCTATTGATAATTCTTTTAAAGATTAAAGTTTGACTTCTGGTTAATGTGCTTTTAAAAACCTCTCCCAACTTACTTTCTCACTGGTAGTAAGTCCGGAGAAGCGGGAGGGTTTGACATGAAGCTAACAATCCACGGCTCACGAAACTCCTACAAGTTGAAGCCATATGTCTCATTCGTAATGGAAACAAGTGTATGTCCTTGTTATCTGTTATCTGATTTTACTTTACGTTCCTTTACGCTCCGAGTGGAACAAAGGGCTTTAAGCTAGAGCTTTGAAGTTTTACTAGCAGTAGTCCTATTTATTTACGGGTTTAAGGTTGCTAGTTTCATTCACAACCTTCGCTCTTCACCGATCATACTTCTGGCTTAGCTGAGGTGTGTAGGGGGGCGTTGGCTAGGGGATCGAGCCTTGGAGCTTTAGTGTGATTAGCAAGCATTCTACTGCTGAACTACCAAATCTTGTATCTCTTTCATATGTATATATGCAATTATTGATTTTCTCTTCTCTTTTTTTACATATTTTTCTTCATTTCAGGTTGACAATGTATACAATTGTATGGAACATTTGAAGGCAAAAAATATTAGAACATTGACACCAGAACCAAGAATTGGTGCTGCAGGTGCTCCTGTTATCTTTTTACATCCAAAAGACACTTGTAGTGTATTAATTGAACTGGAACATGTTCCAGAAAACTCAGGTTCTCATTAGGTTCTTATTGATTGTTATTCTGACTCCTATTATGCCTACTATTATTGCTAATTATACTACTTATTTTATAGCATACAATAATTTGTGTATTACATGCTAAAGTAATATATTCCTTTTAATTGTTTAAACTATTGTCTGTTTTTATATATGTGATAATGAAATAAAGTTGAAACTAAAGTAAAAGACTGAGTTTATCCTATAACTGTAATCTACAGTAAAATAGTTATTGGTGAGGAGACACACTTTAAATGAAAACAAAATACGTAAATCAGCAAAGAGTCTCTTTTCGGTGAATTCATTTTCTTAGCTGTACAATCACAAATATATATGTGTTATTTTATATGTATGTGTACATTAAGTTTGTCAAACAAAAATACAATTGGTTATGGTTATTTTAACTAAACAGGTGAAGATTGGTAATTGAAGCTACGCCGATGATATATGTCTGATTTCCCACAAACTAGAAGATTTGCAAGTGATGAAAGGCAACAAGTTGGCAGAAGAAGCATCAAAGATAGGACTTCAGGTAAACATAGAGAAAACAGAGTTGATGAAGATTCCTGGCCAACACCAACAGCAACAGACAACAATCAGCGTAAATGGGAGGAACCTGAAAGTCTGCCTGTCTGTCTGGATTCAACATAGAACTTGGCACCGAAGTGCACCAGTTCGAGTTGCCACGTTCTAAATAGCACACAAAAGTAGACAAGAAGATGAGTGGAGAGAATTAATAGCTTCACAAGTATGAGAGTGAAACAGAATGGGTAATGGTAGAAAGGAATATGAAAGATTACAGAGACTGAATACATCTGCGCTGGCCATTAACAACGATTTTGAGCCATGTCACCTATTGTCTCCAGCCATTGATTCCTAGAGTCAGTCCCGAGGCCCCCAACCCGGAAGTCTGCATCTCCCTACCTGACTGACTCAGTTCAACTGTCAAGGATATCATGGATTGATGGCATGTTTTTGTTTGGCCACCACTTACTCTTTTCCAACCTGCACCTATATCAGCTAGCAATGCTCATCGGGGGAGGCAATGGTTAGGCATGCGCACCACGTGACCTAGCCATCTCAATCTATGTGACTTTATAGCCTCGTCGATTGATTTTCCCTCTTTGCCCAACACTCTACGCCTAACGTCAACATTACTTACCTTATTATGCCACCTAACGTGAGACAGAGATCGCAGACATCTATGATCGAAAGCAGTCAACCTTTTCATGTCTTCAACTCGTATTGGCCATGTTTCAAAGCCATAGAGAAGGACGGAGAGAACTTCTGAGCAGTACACACGTCCCTTGATTGATAGCCAGATGTCACGCCTACGCCAGAGATGGTGTAAGTCAGCGAGAGCAGCTCGAGCTTTTTGAATCCATGCTGAGATTTCGTTAACAATCAGTCCGTTGGTGCCAATACAACTTCCCAAATAGGTGAAGTGGTCAACATGTTCTATCACTTCACTCCCTATCACTAAGCTAGGATCTCTTACTGCTCAAGGTGTTCAGAAGACTCTACTGGATTTTGTCAGCATCCTCCCCTAACAGGACTATGTCATCTGCATATTCTAAGTCCATAAGACTATTCCCTGGTAACAAGTCGATTCCTAAGTCATTACGTTCAGTTAAGGATACTTCCATCAGCATATCTATGATGAAGTTAAACAGAAATGGGGAAAGTGGACATCCCTGTCGGACACCACTGGTTGTTACCAATTCAGATGACAATTCCCCATAAGCCCTTACACGACTACGTGAGTTTGAATAGAGTGCCTTGATTAGTGCAATGTACTTTCTTGGCACTCCCTTCACAGTCAGACATTGCCATAGTACCTTTCGATCCACGGAGTCGAAGGCCGCCTTCAAGTCAAGAAATATGACAATTGTTGGACGCCGAAAAGTGTGTCTATGTTCTAGAATCTGTCGAAGAGTGAAGATATGATCTATGCACCCTCTACCTGGTCTAAAGCCTGCTTGATTTTCCCTTGTCTGTTCCTCCCGAGTTCTGCTTAGTCTATGCATGATTACTGAGCCTAGGATTTTAGAGACTATGTTCGTTAGGCTGATCCCCCTATGATTATCACACGAGGACTTGTTTCCCTTCTTGAATATCGGTATAATAAGTGACTTACCCCAGTCTGATGGCACTGTCTCTGATTCCCAGACTTTGCCTAGTACCTCAGTTAATCTACAAACTAGTATGTCACCCCCATATTTAAACACCTCCGGAATAATTCCGTCGGGTCCTGCCGCTTTGCCTCGTTTCAAATTACTGATAGCTTTTGTGACCTCACTTACAGACGGCGGACCAGTGTCTATATCCCATTCGGGTGTGTGTGGATGTCGGGGAGGTTCAGTGTGGCTGTAGGCAAGTTAAATTGTCCTCAAAGTGTTCTTTCCAGCGTTCAAGGCGTCTATCCTGAGAGCTAATTAAGGAGCCATTTTTCTCAGAAATAGTCTCACTTATGATTTGCCTTCTCCCCCCGTTTCTGATGAGTCTAAAGAGTTGCCTATCGCCGATGCTTTTTCCATCTCTTTCGCCTTTGTCACCCACCACTGTTCACGGTCCTTGCGGAGACTTTTAGTAAGTTTCCTTTTGTGCAGCTTTCGCTCCTCATTGAATTCGGAGCTCGCCGGAATAAGTCTTCTAGCATCTATCAGTTCGGATGAGGCAGTCGAAATCCAGTGGTTTTTACTCACCTTTGGATTTGCCTTATTCACAGCTTTTACAGCTGTATCTATAGCTGACTGAATATTCTTCCAGGCTTCTCCAGGGTGAGCACAGCTGTCGAACTCAGATATGCGTTTAGCTAGTTCTTCCTCAAATAGGGATTTAGTTTCCTGATCGAGCTGGGGACGTGATGGTTTTACCGCCAGCTGTTTCCTACGTCCGTTCAGTCGTAAGCACACACGAGCCCGGACCAGTGCGTGATCGGTATCTACACACGTGTTCCAGAAGGAGCGACAATCTCCTACCGACCCACGCCAACGATAGCTTATTGCTATGTGGTCTATTTGTGTCCAGCGTTGGTTTGATGATGGGGGTCGCCAGGTTAAACAGTGTCTCTCCTTGTGTTTAAAGTTAGTGCTTACAAGAAACAAATGATTATCTGAACAGAACTGTAGGAGACGGTCACCGTTGTCGGTTCGCTGGCACGGAACTCCATAGGTGCCACCGACATCCTTCTCAGATTGACACAATTTCCCTACTTGAGCGTTAAAGTCACCAGCTAGAACGACTATATCTGAGCGTTTAGCCTTTCTCACCAAACTAGACAGCTTTTGGTAGAACTCATCCTTCGTTTCATCCGAACTGCAGTCAGTGGGGGCGTAGGCGGAGATTACGAAAAGGCATCGGCGAGTAGTGCAGTCCTTTCTCCTTCTTACTGATCCGTTCAGACGGACAGCACACATTCGGCTATCTACGGGATCCAGTCAAGCAATGTCTTTTCTGCCCTAGTACTCAAGCTATCCCTACGCCAGCTAATCCTCGTGAACTAGCTGTGGCATCTCCTGACACCCTCAAGGTGAATTTTGAAGATTCATCCTGTTGGCCAGGTGGGGTTAGGTGAATAACCACACTTGGGTCTTGTATGCGTGTTTCTGAAACACAACATACATCAATGGCTCGGATGCCAGGGTCTTAGCTAGTGATGCTTGTTGTCCTATTTGGCAAAGTGTCCTAACATTAAATGCTCCTATATGAAATTGGTGGCGTGGCTTTAGGAGACTATCGGTGGTGGTTTTTTGGCTTCGTCGTTTTTAGTGGACACAGAGTGAAGAGGGAGTGAGGAGCCATCAAGTAGAGGAGTTGCATCAGTGGAGGAAGGCAAGGTAATAGAGATGAAGATGAAGACAAAGATAAGTGAGGATTAGAGAGGTTTTGTGTGCATTTCTGATTGTGAGGGCGTTTGTTACTTCCCGGCTGCCCACACCGTGGAAGTTGGAACCTGAAAGAAACAACCTCCTTTACCTACCCAACTGGGAAGCATCGTTTCAACTACAGGCCATCGGAACTGACGAGGATATTAAAGTAAGAATCCGGAAAGCAAGACAAGCTTTCATTTCTCTCAAGTCTGTGTGGAGGTCAACAGCACTCACCATCAAAAATAACATCCGGATTTTCAACTCCAATGTGAGGTCAGTCAGTGCTACTCACTATACAGATCAGAGACTTGGCCAGCGCGTCATAAAGGGCATCTCAAACAAACTACAGACCTTCATTAACAGTTGTCTTCGTTCAATACTCAAGATCAGATGGCTGGCCAGAAAAGATCAGAAACATGGATCTCTGGCAATGAGCAAACCAATCAGGAACCGATTGTGAAACAAATAGGCAGGAAGAAATGGAGATGGATTAGCCATACGCTGAGGAAACCATCAAGTGACATCACTAGACAAGCCATCGGTCGAGTAGAACCTGAAAGGGAAGCGGCGAGTTGGTGGTCAGCACAAAGGTGACTTGGAGGAGGTCATGTGAGGAGAAGATGAAATCATGTGGACAGACTTGGAGCGGAGTGAAAAAGTTGGCAGAAAACAGAAGGCAATGGAGGTGCGCCGCTGAAGCCCTATGTACCTCTAGGAACTAAAGGATATAATAATAATATAATAATGCAAAATCAGTGGTAATGCAGTTGAGGTGGTAACAAAGGTGATGAGATGTCACGAACAGTTGTTAAAAGAAGTTATGTAATAAGCACTACCAACCAGCGAATGACCTCGAATGCACCAATCACATGAAGGGGGCCTTTTTGTGTATGGAATGCATATATTTATGAAAAAAATGCATAAAAACGCTACAAAAGTGTTACAGAGGGTACCTTTCTCTCACATGTGATAAAAATAGCTGTCGAAGTTTGGTTGGAGTATCAACTGTGTATAATTCCATTGTGGGTAAAATTTATTTTGATGAAGTTGCATGATGTTATAGAGTAATATTTACTGAGCGATAAATTGTGCTCGAAACTCCATCAGTAAATATTACTGTATAACACTGTGAGACTTTATCAAAATAAATTTTTTAACTCATGGAAAATTCCCATTGTAACATACAGAAAATCAAAACAAGTGATTCAGCGAAGAGACTCTTTTCAACGAATTCATGATCAAGCTGTACAATCGTATATATATGGTTTTTAAGAAGTTATATCCGGTGAGGGAA